ACAGCCTCTGCTGTCAGCCTCTGCGTAGTGGCATACACAGTGTTGTAAGACATGGTGAGGCAGCCAGTTCAGACAAACGGGTGGCTGAGAAGTTTGTACAGGAGTTTAAGGAGTACATAGACAGTGAAGAATTCAAACCTGAACAAGTGTTTAATTGTGACGATACAGGCTTGTTTTGGAAGAAAATGCCAAAAAGGACCTTCATCACACAGGAGGAAAAGGCACTGCCAGGACACAAGCCTTTGAAAGACAGGCTTACTCTTTTGTTCTGTGCTAATGCTAGTGGTGATTTTAAAGTGAAGCCTTACTTGTGTATCATTCAGAAAATTCCAGAGTGTTTAAGAAAAACAATATCTTTAAGAACAAGTATGAAAAAATACCTCCAGGAAAAGAAATTGCCACTCAAGTGCCTCCTGTTAATGGGCAATGCTCCTGCTCATCCTCCAAACTTATTAGACCTCTTGTCTAAGGAATTCAGTTTTATAAAAGTGAAGTTCTTGCCTCTTAACACCACTCCTCTCCTCCAGCCCATGGACCAGCAGGTCATTTCTAACTTCAAAAAACTACACAAAAGCAGTGTTTGAAAAGTGCTTTGAAGTGACCACAGACACTAAGTTGACCCTAAGAGAGTTCTGGAGGAATCACTTCAACATCTACAGCTCCATAAGCCTTATAGGTAAGGCATGGGAGGAAGTGACTTCCAGGACTTTGAACTCTGCTTGGAGACAATTGTGGCCAGATTGTGTCCAAAAGAGGGATTTTGAAGGGTTTGAGGCTGACCCTGACCCTGACCCTGACCCAGCTCACCCTCTGCCTGTTGTGGACTCTATTGTGGCATTGGAGAACACCCTGGGGTTGGAGGTGAGTGGTGAGGATGTGGAAGAGTTGGTGGAGGACCACAGGGAAGAGCTAACCACTGAAGAGCTGCAAGAGCTTCATCTGGAGCAGTATCAGACCACAGCTGAGGAACTTGCTTCAGAGAAGGATGAAGAGGGAGTGGATGAGGTGCCTTCTTCAAAGATTAAGGAGATTTGTGCCAAGTGGAATGATGTCCAAATGTTTGTGCAGAAATACCACCCTGAGCAAGCTGAAACAAGCCATCTTTGCAACAAGTTCAGTGACAGAACCATGTCCCATTTTAGGGAAATGTTAAAGAGGCGCCAGAAACAGAGGACTGTGGACAGTTACTTTGTGAGACGGGTCCAGTGACTCTCAAGCTGGTCCTAGTGGCATTAAAAGACAGAGAAGGGAAGTAACCGCAGAGAGGGCTTTACCTGAAGTCCTCATGGAGGGGGATTCTTCCGAACACTAACCCCCAACTCCCTCTCTCCTCCTCTCTATCTTCAAGATGCCATCACCAATCTTCAATAAAGGCAAGTAAAAATTTTATTTTATATGTATTACTATACATAAAAACTGTGTGGTGTGAATATAATGCAGAGAATTCGTAGTTTGGAAGTTAGGAGGAGGTGCGGGATTACCAAAACTGTTGTCCAGAGGGCTGAGGAAGGGTTGTTGAGGTGGTTCGGACATGTAGAGAGAATGGAGCGAAACAGAATGACTTCAAGAGTGTATCAGTCTGTAGTGGAAGGAAGGCGGGGTAGGGGTCGGCCTAGGAAGGGTTGGAGGGAGGGGGTAAAGGAGGTTTTGTGTGCGAGGGGCTTGGACTTCCAGCAGGCATGCGTGAGCGTGTTTGATAGGAGTGAATGGAGACAAATGGTTTTTAATACTTGACGTGCTGTTGGAGTGTGAGCAAAGTAACATTTATGAAGGGATTCAGGGAAACCGGCAGGCCGGACTTGAGTCCTGGAGATGGGAAGTACAGTGCCTGCACTCTGAAGGAGGGGTGTTAATGTTGCAGTTTAAAAACTGTAGTGTAAAGCACCCTTCTGGCAAGACAGTGATGGAGTGAATGATGGTGAAAGTTTTTCTTTTTCGGGCCACCCTGCCTTGGTGGGAATCGGCCGGTGTGATAATAATAAAAAAAAAAAAACTGGAGTATTTGTTGTATGTAAAACTGTAATTAATCTCTATAAAATGTATTTTTTGTGTGAATATTTTTGGGTTTCTGGAACGGATTAATTGTATTTTCATTATTTCTTATGGGAAATATTGCTTCGAATTTCAGAATTTTCGAATTTAGAATTTGCTCCTGGAACGGATTAAGTTTGATTTTTGAGGTTCCACTGTACTTTCATGCATTCCCTTCTTTGTCTCCATAGATAATAATTTTTGTCTCCACATATACCTCAACGAACCACTCGCTTTTTTTCCTTCATCAATTCTATGATTAACCTCATTCTTCATAAATCCATCCGCTGACATATGAACTCACAAATATCTGAAAACATTCACTTCTTCCATGCTCTTCCTCTCCAGTTTGATATCCAATTTTTGTTTATCTAAATCATTTGATACCCTCATCACCTTACTCTTCTCTGCTCACTTTCAACTTTCTACCTTTATACACACTCCCAAACTCATCCACTAACTTTTGCAATTTTTGTTCAGAATCTCCCATAAGCACAGTATCATCAGCAAAAAGTAACTGTATCAGTTCCCATTTTGTATTTGATTTCCCTTTTATTTGCCTATTTTTTCATAGGAATATTTCTCCTCCAGCAATTCTTCTGCAGTTGTTTCTTCATCATTCTCCACTGACAGTTCATTTTATGTCTATATGCACATGTTCAAAACCCTCATGTCACACATTCTTTGCCTCGGCCAAAATTTCCTGCACTTTACTCCATCCTGAGGAAGAACTAAAGAAATTACTCATTGCAAGCCATAATTAACCCAAATTTGTATTTATAGTTAACCTGTAAACGGTCCAAACGTTCATATGCATTCTTACTGCTAGTGCCCCAAACGTATATATGCATTTTATTTTTCCTACCTTCAGATTTGGCACGATTGGCCTGAGATGCCTTGTCAGCATAGAGTGGGTCTTAATAACCCTTTCAGGGTTGACAGGCCCTCTCCCAGACTTGTTCTTAGGGTCGCCAAATTTTCAGAAAAAAAAAAAAATCTTATGAAAAGATAGAGAATCTTTTCCCGATCATAATGACACCAAAAGTATGAAATTTGATGGAAAACTTACGGAATTATGCTCTCACGAAGTTAGTGGTCTCGGCAATTTTGCCCACTTTGAGCCCTATTTTCTGCCAATTCCAGTGTACTAGTCGACAAAAATCATAACTATTTCGCTAGAACTCCATTTTTTCTATCGAATGAGTACAAGAAACCACCCATTTACTGATTTCAACTATCCAATAAAGTGGTCAGAATTTAGCAATTTTGCCAATTTCACACAAATTTCAAAAGATGCCAATTTCCAAATAGGGTCCAGAATAAACAAGAAAGACATTCCTGGCACTAAAATAACATTTCCTCTGTTCATTAGTCACGTCCCCATGCCCCTCTTACATTCTTTTGCTTTCCACTTTGAATTTTTATTCTCACAAAAAATAGAAGATTTACTGTTATGCAGACTGTTATATGTCTTCCATTCTATAAAATGAGGCCAGGAAAACTAGAATACCATCATAAATACCATACGAAAATACAGTGGAAAGTCACTGTTTTAAACCAAAAACACGGTCGGAGTTTTTTTTTTTTTCTCATTATGCACTGTGTGCTGCAGGATTTTTTTTCATACTGCACACACTGACCACATAGACCCATTCTTTCATATGTAGGCCTACCAGCTTTCTCTCACTAGATTTGAGGGCGCTAGAATTTAGGCGTACTAGTACGTCAAAAACCCTGGTGCGTAAGCCATACTATTACGTCAGAAACCCTGAAAGGGTTAACACTCAGTACCACTTAATACCTTGTGGGAGCACCAGTTCAAATTAGTGCCAGCTAGAGCAAACAGTGTGACAAACACCTGGGATTCACTGATTTCATGTAGTATAAACTCTCCCATTTTAAGAGGAAAGTGGTGTTGACCCTGAGTTTAGTGACTTCGAGGTGGATGTGGCCATAAGTGGTCAAGGAAATGACAAAAAACCTCAGTAATAACCCATGTGCAACATTTGTGCAACACCTTTTCAGAATGTCTTATAACTTATGTCCTAAGTGAAGAGAAACAATTCTGGAAAGTAATACTTGTTCGGCTGGCTGTCTGGCTGTCTGTCACAACAAAACACATCACACAGTTTTAATATTTACTATAAATTTGTTGTGTTATATATTCTGTCTCATTTCTAATGATTGTTTTCTTGTTTCATCATCTATGTACATAGGAACTATTATGATTCATGAAGTTGTAATAACATGATTACAGACAAGTCTGTCTTGAGATTTGAACTATTATGATGCAGTTATTTCAAGGTGTGATATTACTGGACACTTAAAGGTAGGCACAGTGGCATGCCACACAACTTAGAGTAATATCGTGTATTTTTACTGGCAGAGCAGCTGGTGTTAGAACTGCTGGTAGTGGTGTCATGTGTTGTTGGTGCTACAGTTGATGATGGAAGAGTGACTGGTGTCACTTGTGGTGTTGGAAGGGCAGCAGATGGTGTCATGTGTTGTTGGTGCTACAGTTGATGATGGTAGAGTGCCTGGTGTCACTTGTGGTGGTGGAAGGGCAACTGGTGGTGTCACTTGGGGTGTTGGCAGGGCAGCTGGTGGTGTCCCATGTTGTGTTGGCAAAACAACTAGTGGTGTCAAATGTGTTGGTAGGTCAACAGTTGTTGCATGTGATGCTGACAAGGTCTAATAGTAAGAGTTTGTGCGCTATCAAAATTTTGAGTGCACATTTTCAATTGTGTTGCAACAAAATTGCAATATGTGAAGTTACGTTATAAGATGGTTTACTGTAGCTAATAATCTAATGTTTATTAATAGGTATGTACATAGAAATTATATTTCACTTGTTGTCAGTAGTTATGTAAAATATTTGTATTGGAATTAAAACCTATTATTTAGGTGAATCCTTACTAATTAATAGCTTCGAGGTATAGAGTATGTGTTAATTAAAATATAACATTCAGGTGAACCAGCAAAAGAAGGTACTGCTACAATTCGTATCTACACTAAAAACAAGAATGATGAAGAACCCAACTTTTCACAGCAAGTCTACACCCCAAATGTTGATGAAAATGCAGGACCGAACACACTAGTAACAACTGTTGTGGCATCAGATAAAGATGGTGATAATGTGGAGTTTGGTTTTGTTGGTGAAGCCCGCAAATCTGGCCAGTTTGTAATTGAAAAGATGACTGGAGTTATTAGGTTGCACAATGGACCCATTTCCCTTGATCGTGACAAATATGAACTGAACGTCACTGCTGTTGATGATGGTAATTGTTGCCCTGGTGGACAGCATTTACGGCATACTTCAACAGCTGTTGTTGTCGTCTTTATTACTGATGTCAATGATAACAAGCCTGTTTTCAAGGACTGTGCATCTTATCATGCGAAGGTGGAAGAGTCGGCACCAAATGGTTCACCTGTCATCACTGTGCATGCTACAGACGAAGATAAAGGTGTCAATGGACAGGTATGTTTGGCAGATAACTGCTAATTTTTATATAGTATTATTTGTTGATTACATTTTAGAATAGGTGATAATTATTATATTTTAATAAATAATTTATTTAACTCATTAGTATATTACAGTAAGAGGACTGTGTTTATTTTTTTTCCTAGGTCCGCTACAGTATTGTCCAGCAGCCTAACCAGAAAGGTACAAAGTTCACAGTTGATCCTGAAACTGGAGATGTAACAACCAACAAGGTGTTTGATCGAGAAGGAGAAGATGGAAAGTTTGTCTCTGTTACAGTAAAGGCCACTGATAATGGAGATCCATCACTAGAAGGTGTTTGTTCCTTTACTGTGGAGATCACAGATATCAATGATAATCCACCTTTATTTGATCGGCAGGTAAGTTTGCTAACCTTATATTTTTCAACATTAAATGAGAGCAGTTCAATTTTATTGGCACCTAAAAGTTTCAGTGCTATAGATGTTTTGCAATTTGTTAACTAGAGTTTTAATAGATTTCTTACATCTTTAAGACAACTAGCATTACTATCATGCTTTTATAAGCTCATCATCATTCCCACATTCCTCACTTTTGTGAAGTGGTGGGGCATTTTCCTAGTGAAGATATAAGTATAAACAGAAACATGCTCAAGATACAGCAATCAAGATGTTTAAACCACACGTATCCTTTTACGCTACTTCATACACTCCATAAAGAACGAGTGCCACCACATGGTGGTAATGGTATAAAGTGCTCCTTGTGAATATTCACACAAAACATCACTTGTTCCCTCATAAGTAACAACTTCTGCTCTGCCCTGTTTACTATGTTGTTTCTAGGTGTTAGCACTCATACTACATTCTCTCACACAAATACATTCCATATTGGTCCAATAACTTGATCTTTCCTTTCTCCTATCTACCAGTTTACTCGGTATTATTTTCTTGATACCATTATACGAGTTGTAAGACTTGGCTGCCATGGGTTCTCTCCCCATCCATTGTGGGATTCATCATTCATTCATTATTAAAAAACAATTAAAAATGCATTTTGTTATTTTGTAAATGAGATATTAGTATAAAAATATTGGAAAAAAAAAACTGTGTTGACATGTCAGAGAAATCTTGTTAATGATGCTTTTTAGATAACATACAATAGAACCCTCGTATCCACTTATTTGGTTTCTGCTGTTTCAGTTATCCAGGGTTTCAGTTATCCACTGTTTACCGTGGCCTGAAAATAACCCTTAATTTTGCTTAATGGACCCAAGGTGCAAATGTAGTTATGTGGCAATTCTTCAAAGCTTATGAGAAGCCATGAAGTGCTTCCCATCAGTAAAAAGTGCTAATTGTGAACCTATTGTGTGTAATTTAACAATTAAACTTATCATGGGTATGTATGTAAAGGAAAAAACTTATATATAGGGTAGGTCTGGGAATGTATCCCCCACGGATGTCGGGGACTACTGTAATTTTAACTGTCTCTGTTTGTATTATTTTTAATATAAATCTCATTACTCAAGTGTTTACCAGTACAATGATCCCTACTGTGGTCATGCTTAGTACTCAGCTTGAAAAAATGGGTGCTGGTTGAAAGAAAACAAGATAATATTATTGGCTGGATGAAAAATTTGGCTAATCTATACTATTTAATGGTTGAAAATAAATGGATAATCCATACTATTGGCTGGTTGCTTATTAGTATAAAACATTAAATAACAGAACCCACACCTGAGGAAGCTTGTGAATTTATAGGGACAAATGTATTAACTCCCCCCCCCCCCCCAGCAAGTCGGCCGTCTCCCACCGAGGCAGGGTGACCCAAAAAGAAAGAAAATACTTTCATCATCATTCAACACTTTCACCTCACTCACACATTATCACTGTTTTTGGAGAGGTGCTCAGAACACAACAGTTTAGAAGCATATACATATAAAGATGCACAACATATCTCCTCCAAACTGCTAATATCCCGAAACCCCTCCTTTAGAGTGCAGGCATTGTACTTCCCATTTCCAGTACTCAAGTCCAGCTATATAAAAATAACCGGTTTCCCTGAATGCCTTCACTAAATATTACACTGCTCACACTCCAACAGATCGTCAGGTCCCAAATACCATTTGTCTCCATTCACTCCTATCGAACACGCTCATGCACGCCTGCTGGAAGTCCAAGCCCCTCTATGTATAAAATATTAAAGATCCAAAGATCCAAAAGTGACTGTCTAGTGAAAATAATGCATAAAGTTCTTACTGTAATGTGCCAACACTTGATTTTTCATGTGTCTAAGAGCCCTGGTCAGGGTAAACTGAATACCTGGTAAGTTTCTTCATGACATAGGAAACATGGGTATATTGGACAGCAAGCCTCCAGAGTAGCAAGGCTTATGTTTCTGGTTAACCTGACAAATGTAGAATTTACACACACACACACACTTGTTGTTATTATTATTTATGAGAAACACTGTTTGTATGGGTTATTCAACACATGGATAAGCAGAGGCTTGAATCTTGTGCCATTAATTGTTACAGGCTTGCCATCTAAATGAACTTGATTAGTTGATCTTGCAAATAGTTATTTTCTTGATTCAGTGAGAAAAGAGAATATTGACATGGGTTAGACAGAATACAAAGGGGAAATGGAAAACATTTAACCCCTTGACTGTCGCAACCCCCAATCCTGAGGTGTCTCCTGGTGTCACAAAATTTCAAAAAAAAAAAAAAAAAAAAAAAAAAAAAAAAATCTTATGAAATGATAGAGAATCTTTTCCCGATTGTAAAGACACAAAAAAAAACGAAATTTGATGGAAAACTGACGGAATTACGCTCTCGCGAAGTTAGCGACCTCGGCGATATTTACAAATCGTCGATTTCGCCCACTTTGAGCCCTATTTTCGGCTAATTCCATTATTCCAGTCAACCAAACTCATAGCTATTTCTTCAGAACTCCATTTTTTCTATCGATTGAGTACAAGAAACTGCCCATTTACCGATTTCAACTACCCAATAACATGGTCAGAAATTTGCAATTTGGCCAATTTCACGAAAATTAAAAAATATGACAATTTCAAAATAAGGACCAGAATGAACAATGCAGACATTCCTGGCTCTAAAATAACATTTTCTTTGTTCATCAGTCATGTCTCCAGGCCCCTGTGATATTACTCTTGCTTTTTATTTTGAAATTTTATTCAAACAAAAAATAGAAGATTTACTGTTATGCAGACTACTGCAATACTGTAATAATTGTAAAAATTACATCAACCCATTCATGACTGCATATTAGAATGGCTATTTGGACATTTATTGGACAATGACATCATTTGTTTACTTTTGAACATCGGCAAAAATCAAACATTTCCCGTATTTTGTGCTCCATTTCCAGGTTCTTTTTATAGTAAAATCAATCAAAATCACCTCTATTTCTATAATATATTTTCCATTCTATCAAATGAGACCAAGAAAATGAGAACACAACCATAAATACTATATGAAAATAGACCACAAAGTCGGCATTTTAATTAAAAAAAACGGTCGGAGTTTTTTTTTTCTCATGCACTGTGTGCTCCAGGATTTTTTTTATATGGTGCGCACTGACCACACAGACCCATTCTCTCACATGTGGGCCTACCAGCTTTCTCCTGCTTGATTTGAAGCCGCTAGAATTTGAGTATATATACATCAAACACAGTACCTCGTAAGACGTATATATACGGCCGCGACAGTCAAGGGGTTAAGTGGAGATGTCCTGTCTAAGGGCAATGTGTGGTGTAAATATTATTCAGAGAATTCGGAATGTGGAAATTAGAAGAAGGTGTGGAGTTATTAAAAGTATTAGTCACAGGGGTTGTTGAGGTGGTTTGGTCATTAAGAGAAAGTGGATCAAAGTAGAATGACTTGGAGAGCGTATAAATCTGTTTGGGAAGGAAGGAAGGAAGGGTAGGGGTCATCCCCGAAAAGGTTGGAGGGGGGGTAAAGGAGGTTTTGTGGGCGAGGGGCTTGGACTTCCAGCAAGCGTATGAGAGCTTGTTAGATAGGAGTAAATGGAGACAAATGGTTTTTGGGACTTGACGAGCTGTTGGAGTGTGAGCAGGGTAATATTTTGTGAAGGGATTCAAGGAAACTGGTTAGCTGGATTTGAGTCCTGGAGATGGGAAGTAGTGTCTGCACTTTAAAGGAAGGGTTTGGGATATTGGCAGTTTGGAGGGATGTCCAAGCTGTCGTATCTGAGCACCACCTCTGCAAAGACGGTGATTATGTGAGTGATGGTGAAAGTGTTGAATGATGATGGAAGTTTTTTCTTTGTTTTTGGGTCACCTTACCTCGGTGGGAAACAGCCAACATGTTAAAAAAAAAAAAAAATACAATAAGGTAGTGTTGGATATGTTGGAAGGATGATTCCCTCTGATAGATCATCCAGAAGGGGCATGGTGGCTGAAATTGACCTAGCAAATAAATATATTTGATGGGTAGAGGCTTGGCTGAATGCTGAAGAATTCTTATATAGTCTACTTTTAAAACTGAAATGTAGGTTTTACTGCCTGTACTTGACTCTTCTCTCTATCATGGGATCTAACTTAAATATTTTATCTGCAAGAGCCTTAAATTGTTTCAAAGCTTCAGACAATGATTTCACATTATCTGCTACATACTGGAACCACATCTTCATTGTCATTGTCACTTGACTTGACATCAGTTCCTTAAGGTCCTCATTTGTCATTTCAGCTTTTAATTTGATCAGCACTTCCACCTCTGTCTCCTCCATGTCCTCAAAACCTTACCCTCTAACCGCCTAGCACCATCGTTTCAATCCTCAATACTCATTCGCTATCACACATTCAAAAGCTGTTTTACCAAAAGTGCACTGACATGACAGTTCAGATGATCTCCCTAAACTGCAACATCTCCACCCTCCTTGAGAGTGAAGACACCGTGAATATAATATTGTAATTACAATCCTCACTTTCACCAACTGTCTCTGTCTACAACTTTTTTCCACTCTGTTTATGGGAGAGACTCATCTTGTCAAGTGACTCATTTATTAGGGTGTTACTGTCTAATATCTTCTGTTGGATTAGTCTGCATTACACCTAATGTATGGCAAAAAGTACTGTTTTGAAGACAGATGTGTTTGGAGTCACGAAGACTGACTCAGCAAAAGGGTGTGAGAGCTTTTTATCCTCTGGGTGGCAGGAAGCATTATCAATGAGGAGGACTTTATTGGCCAAATTCTTTTAATATACGGTATTTCATTGTGTTCATGATAAGACATTGGAACCTTTTAATAAGGAAGCTGAAGGACTTAGCTCAAGCTATCTTCCTCCAAACACGTCAAACAATGCACATAGGGTTTAAGGCAATGGTTTTGTTTTTTTTTTTTTTTTTTTTTTTTTTTTTTTT